CCAATTTGTGTTTCTTTGCAAGCTCTTGGTGTATTATATTTGCTACTTGATTATGTCTATGTAAGTAATCTGTCTGTGCCAAGAGCTTGCAACCAGAAGTGATGTGTTGTATAGTTTCTGGCATGATGTGACATTTTCTGCATGTGTCATTTGTGAGTGTTGTATCTTTATTATTATTATTAGTAGTAGTAGTAGTAGTAGTAGTAGTAGTATAATCTACAATAAGAAGCAGAGAAGAAAAAGAACCAGAGACTGAAATTTTGAAACAAGAAGTTGAATTAGCAGATCCTACATATTGGGAAAAGCTTCTTAGGCATCACTATGAGCAGCAGCAAGAAGCCATTGATGGGTTATTAGATCGTACAAAAGAGGAAATTGAACAGTAAGAATTGTGGGCAAATGAATACTTAAGTCTTTCAAAGTTGCTGCTTATGTAACAAAAGAAGCAGAGGAAAAAGAATCTGAGACTGAAATTTTAAAACAAGAAGTTGAATTGACAGATTAGCTGATCTTCCAAAATAAAAATCAACAGGAAAAATAAATTCAAAAGAAATAAATTTTCTAAACAAACAGTAAAATTCATTGATCTTTGCAAATACAATTTGAAAAGATCAATGAATTTTCTGAAAGATGATTTGAAGATGAAATATGTAATTTAATTTTCTTCTTGACAAATCTTCTCAAAAAGCAATGAATTTCTTCATTATTTCTATGAACTGTTTTAATATAAGATAAATTCTGAAACTAAAAAATTAAATAAACTTGAAAAACTGACAGTTTAAATGACTTTTTCCTAAACATTTTTAAGATATATATAACTTTAAATAATTTCCCAAGATCTTCAGAATGTTTTCATACTATTTTAATCATTATACATTAAATTATTAAACATTTTATATTTAGAATTATAGAATTAAAACAATAAAATAAGTAATTTAATAAATCAATCACATTTCTCAGTCTTCTCTAAATTATAATTGATCAAAGTACAATTTCTCAAAATTATATTTCATTTAACAATTCAAATTAATTTGAAACAAGCAATTCATTATAAATTATCACTTTATATTTGTAAACAACATTAGATATTTTTCCAATAAAGACTAAAATAGAAACAATAACACATTTAAGATTATAAAAAAATTTCAAATTTGAAATAGATTATTAAATAATGAAATTGATTAAAATATTTAATCAATTTCATGATATATCACGTTTTCAATCAACTCTAAAAATAAATAATCACTTATTTGATAATATACTTTTCAAATATAATTAAAAATTATTTGAACCATTTATTTTTATTTTTTTTTCATAAAAATAATGCAAATATTTTCATAATGCAGAATATTCAGAGCATTAAATAATTTTCGATTCTGAAATATAAACTGTTTATATATCATATATTTTCTTGTTACACCGCTGTATAATGCTTAAAAAATAGTTTTTCTAATACCTTTGTGGTTAAATCCTTAAAAATGTTATGAAATAAACAAGTAAAAACTGAAAAATCTTCAGAAACCAAAAGTCAAAATTTATACATTGGAATCTCGACGGTATCAATTGCCAGTTTTAAGCATCTACACTCCTTTTCATTACGTAATTTCTTCCGTATCACTTAAGAGTATTGAAGTTTTTCAATTATAATTATAATTAATATTCTTACATTATTCATATTATTATTCAGTTTATCAAATATGAGAATAATGTTTTATATTATATACGAAATGGAGCACGAAACGAAAACTGAAAAATCGGATTAATTCGAGAAATAATAAATTAATCTTTAAGCTTATTTAAAAAATTTTTATTGATGTTTTTTACAAGTCAACACAAATTAAAAGTTTTTTTTTTAACAGCGATTATGAATGAGTACTTATAAGCGGAAATCTATTCAATATTCCCGCTTATACGGTATTCAATAATGTACGAAAAATGCTTGTTTTAAATGCTAAAAGTGCGACTTTTTGGCTTCCTTATTATGTACGACAATAAAATAAAGTGATAAAAAACAGAAATAATAAAACCATAAAAACTTATAGTAATTAATAATAACAGAAACTTGTTCCATATATTTATAAATTCCTATAATAGTCCATTGCTCAATGCAATAAGAAACTTTCACAGTATGTTAAATTATTGTATATCCTGACTATATTTTTGCAGTCATTTAGATAATTTGAATGGTTGAGATATCTCTAATAACCACCAATTAAGTAAATCGATTAATCTCTTACTTGAAGCGAAACCAGCAAAACTTCTATTTTGCTGATGATTCGCTTCAATGATCAATAATGGTAAATTGCAGAAATTTGTTTATAAACAAAGTTCTTCAGTTTTTGGTTTTAAATTATTTTGAATATTTTGCTGAATTATCATTTCTTCGTATATTTTAATTTTACATTTTATTTTATTTTTTTACTCTTTCCACTCTATAATCATTAATTAATTAAAGGGAGGCATCATTGATTTGTCCAGGCCACAATAGAGTTGAAGGCACGACATATTAGGAACATATTGAAAAATTCCTAAAGATCCGACCCGGATCCAGGTCTCTCGGATAGGTAGACAGATGCTTTTACCGACTTGCCATCCGCTTAGATAAGAATGTTGGTCAATGAATTTGCCAGTAGCCGAGTGGATAAAACCATTGAAGACCGGTAGTTGGTCGCAGATTCGAGACTCGCCAATGGGCTGATCGCATGGAGTTTTCCGGATTTTCTTCGCGTGTCTAACACCTACAAACGGGTAAGTTTCCCATAGAAAGTCCGTCTGGGAGACACTTCCTTCAATACTTCGACAACTCGCCTAGGCATCGATGTGACGTCGGCACAGCAAAGATCTTGTGGAATGTTGGACGGTTCCTGAAGAGCCGTCTTCAGCTGATCTTCTGTTTGGGGTTTTCGCACCTCTTTTTTGAAGACACACAAAATATCCCTAATTGGATTCAGATCGGGCAAATTTGGAATCAAGTACAGGACATATACAGTACTCAATTTTCGCGAAGCCAAGCACAAGTGGAGCATGCAGTAAGCGGCTTGGCGACATCTTGCTGGAAGATCACATCTCCCTGCGGCCGAAGATGGGCTATGGAAGGCAGTAAATGCTGTTGCAAAACTGCCTGTTAGCATTGAGTATTGACAGTCCCATCATACTGAACCAAATCACCAATGCCAGAATACCCAAAATACCCCACACTTGAACCGTGCTTGGAAACCTGATTTTCTGCTTCACATAGTTTCGGGCGAGTCCTTCATTCAACCGGTGGATAACTCTATGTCTGATATTTCCATATAGGACTGGAAAGGCCGACTCGTCAGACAAAATTACCTTCCGCCATTGAGTTCCCGTCCAAGACAGGTGGTCCCTACTTCATATAAACCGATTATTTTGCTGAACTGGCGTCAACATAGGCTTTCACTTACTCTTGAACGAACTGTAACCCATGTCATGTAACCTGTTGCCAGCAGTTCGTCGAGATACCAGTCAGCCCATTAATACGCTCCACATTTCTGCAGTTTCCACGGATGTACAGTACCAGGTTGGTATTTCATGACAAGCCGACGCAAAATTCGGCTTTCCTTGCCAGCAGTCGTTTGCATCTGCCATTACTGCATAGAACCAGCTTCTTCATAGTGCTTGAGGAAGGTTCTGACAGTAGGCTCGTTTAAACACAACTCCCGAGCAATCTGCGGTATAGCTGTTCCATTTTGCCGTTTCTGCAGGATCTTATAACTTACAGCCCTAGCTTCTGTCTTGCCATTTTTCACATTTTGAACAACAAAATTTTATAGTTTACAAGACTTTACAAAATTTTATAGTTTCCTTCGTTTGCATACTGCAGACCCTAGAAATACACAAAGCGGCAAAAAATTTCCATGTTCAGCTGAGCAACGTCTGCTAAATGCTGGGTGAGCGTAAATTTATTGCTTTCGATTTTCGAAAGAGTAATGCTTTTAGGCATACATGGAGACGCCTGTTACAGTAATAAGCCAATTTTTCTTTTTCTTTCTTTTTTTCTTTTTTATAAACCATAGCTCGATTAGATTTTTTTATTTATTAAACGAGTTTCGTTTCAAATGCAAACGGATCCAGTTTTCTTACTGTTTATAAAAATCACGAATGTTGTGGACGTACATTTATTGCCACGGTGAAGGAACAAACAATTCAATAATTCGTCAATGTTGACATAGACATACGAAAGTATTTTAAAAACTTTGGAATCGTTCTTCGTTATCTTAACTTAAAGTAGAAAACGTTCACACTAAACTTTTTTTTATATTTACCGGATGTACCCAGTGAACCATTCGACTATTTTTCGTTTGTAGACAGATGGTGGAATGGTTCACTTGTTTATAGACAGATGGTGCGTTTTCTATGGCCCATCATGCTTTTTTTTTTTTAACTTTCCGACCTGTAGGCAGTAAGAGGGTTTTTTTAGCGAGCCCGTTATGAGTGTAGCCATGTCCATAATGGTGCGGCTGAGTGATGATAGGACGAAGGCCGATGTATACGGCTGGATCACCTTCGAATAATTCTTGGTTTTTCGACCCGCCTGAATTCGATCCCGGGTCCCTGGCTGCCACCATAACCGCTCGGCCTTCCGGCTATATCACGAACCATTGTTCCAATCGAATGTGAAATACAAACTACCTAATTGGAAATGTAGAGTATAGTACTGTAAGGTCTCTTTTTATGCGGATTATTTTTATGCGATTTTGAAGTTGTGCGGTTTGTATTTCGTCCAAAAATTTTTTGGACAAACATACATATAGGCTTGTTTAGGAAGCCCGCGTACGGACAGGCTCCAAAAATCGTGGAACGCTCAAAGCTCACTCCATTTGTTCCGCTGACATATAACGTTTATGGATGTAAAGGACAGCTAGATCTACCTTAATCGCTTTAGTTCCTAGCAATTTTTGATATAAATGTAATTAAACATAAAAAAATACTTAAAACTGAAAAAAACGAAAGAAATGCGTTAATTTTGAAGAAAAAGCTTCAAAGTTTAACTTCCTTTGTCTCGCCCTTCTGTGAAATTTAACACCGATGAGTCATTGTTTACACATCTGGATGACCTTGAACACAGCTGGAGTTGGATTTCCCGGGGCATTCTCATAGACGTTGCGGGAGGACAAGGGTTTAAAGTAGGTTGAACACTAGCTGGCCGTATATATTTTAAATATTTTTTAAAAATTTGGAGACTTAAAAACATTCCAAAAATTCAAAAAAAAATTCAAACATCTTAAGGACCGTGTTTCATGTAACGCTATGTAACCTGCCCGAGTTAACTCGGAACTAAAGGGTTAAAATTTAATTAACTCTTCACATCCCGATGTCAGTGATTTGTTTTTAGAGTGAGCTTTTGCAATTCGGGGATTCCCCTTGTACATGATACCATCGACAAGTCGCTATTACATCATTCTGAGTTTCGCATTGAAAGGTATAAACTGTAATTGTTTTGAAATTAAATTTTATATTAGCGGTGTTTTGTTCACTTTTATAATAAGTAGCGAGTTTAAATTTTGCTGATTTCAAGTTGCAGTAATAAGCAGCCTATTTCTTTTAATTTCTGCAAACTTTTTTATGCGGTTTTAAGTTAATTTTAACTCATTGTTTTGGTTTTATGCGATTTTAGAAAATTACGGAACGTATCCCTACTTTTTCAAGGCAAGTAAAGTCTTTTTTTATGCGAATTTTTTATATGCGCTTTTCTGTAGAACGTATCCACCGCATAAAACGAGACCTTACAGTATATCTATGGTAATGGTTTCAAACCGAATCGTAGGAAAGAAGTCAAACTTTTCGGCAACTTTTTTTAAAACGCTTTCCACCATATGGGCACTAAGAGGGCCTCATTTAGCGAGCCCATTATGGGTTCGTCCAGATCCACAATGGGGCGGCCGGGTGGTGAGGGACGAAGGCTGACATGTCCGGTCGGATCACCTCCCCAAAAAAATTTCTGGGAAAAAATCCCCAGGCATTTTTTGACCCGTCCGGATTAGATCCCAGGTCCCCCAGAGCGGTAGGCTGGCCTTATGGTCAGCCTACCACTCTGGAACCTTTTGGGCAGCCCACCGCAGGCAGAATGAAGTTATCGCTCGGCCATCCGGCCGTCGGCAACTTCATTCTGCCTGCGGATTTCCACCATTAAAATAACTTGAATTCGTTCTTCCTTGCGCACAGGCATGCTTTATCTGTAAAAGAGTAAACCAAGATTAATATAACTCTTATGGTTCCAGACTTAGATGACACCCTATATATCCAAAATTGTTTTGTAATGCCAAAAACTCCAAGGTTACATTACCTTGGAGTTTTTGGCATTACATTATATTATTATATTACTGTTGAGATATTAGAAAAGACTGTTCTACAATATAATTACACAACAAACTTCAGGCTGTTAATAATAAAAGAAATTTTAAGTAAATTAGTTTATACATCTAGTTAAGTTCTTATATTTTCCTGTTGAGAGCTTTTTTATTTAGTTTCATAACTTTTTTATAATATAGTTGTTATTTGAAAATATTCGTTACCGATTACAGATCTTTTTAAAAAATATTTCTGTTTGTGTTTGACTCTTTCCAGTGGTGTGTTATAGCTTCATGGAGTCCAGGAAAATTTGAAGTAAGTGGTCCCTGTACAGTGTTGACTTAAGATATTTTT